GTCCCTTTACATATATGAGTAAATCCGCTAATGAAGCATGTGAAACACGTATGCTTTGGACACACTCTAAATTGAAGAAAAGAAACGGAACAAGATTAAGAAATTCACCAAATAAAATAGACATTGATCCATGAACTACTAGTTAAAGAAGCATGGGTTATAGTTATCATTTGGTTAGCATATAGAAATCTAGCTGTTTTTTATTCTGTTTTCTAATTACAACAAATGATTAGACACACTGCAAATATATAATAAATAAATAAAAATTACAATAAAATCAAAATTAATAATGGTAATGGAATAAAAGCACGCGTATGAATACAAATATATAACGTTAAAACTCCAAATAGTGCGAATCAAGCATGCTTAAGTATGAACCAAACATGCAACCATAGAATCCTAATGAAAGGATAACTTTGATTGACAAAAATATTCTATGATCAGTATTCAAAGTCAGAAAAAAATGAGTTCTCTATTTCACATATACTTAAAAAAATAATGAAGCTTGATTTCACATGAAGAGTTCCATTGAAAAGAAACTGACAATTGTGACCCTTACATATCATGCATGATAGTAATTGTATAATAAATATTTTTTCTTATTCTTAAACGTTTCCATACAATATAAGTACTCATTTGATTAAAAAAATTATATTGTGCTTGAGGAAAAACAATCGATTGCGTATATTTAAATATTTTTATAAGAAAAATGAATATTATTCAATAAAGATAAAAGTAAAATTAAATGCAAGTAGTGTTCTGGTATGAAAATTTAAATATAATAACTGAAAAATTAATTTTAAGACAAAAAATAAAGGGTCATTGTCGTTGATCTTTCGTGAAATACCTTGAGTGATACTTACGTAAAGTATCGTATAAAAACATTTTTTTTCTCCAAGTCATGCAAATTGCAAGAAGAAATACATTTGTATAATTAGTTTATACAAGTTTGTATACAACAAAGGAAAATATAGAAAAAAAAAATTGGTTGGTGTAATAAAATCGAACGAAATATGTTGTTTCTGTCATGGTTTGGAGGAACTTTCAACTCATTTATTTTTAACGTGCTCAGTTTCATCTCAAATCTGGTACTTTATTGCACGTTGACTTAGATTCTCACTGGTTTTGCCTTCAGATTTATCGACTCACTTGCTTTCTTGGGTTGGTGTTGACTGTAGTAAAAGAGAAGGAATATGCTTATTAATTATTTGGGTAAGTACAGTGTGTTCTTTGTGGTTGCATAGAAATAGAATTATATTTTCCAATGGTGTTTTGGATGAGAGGGAAGTCCTAGATTCTATTATTCTGAGATCCTAGAAATGGTTATCACTTGTTAGTAAGGGAGAAGCTATTATGTTAGCTGATTGGTATTTGAACCCACGAAATTGCATCTGTCTTAATTTTGCATAAGTATATTTTTTCTTTTTATTTCTCTGAGTAAGTAATTTTTTGTGTATATGAGTTTTGAGTTCCCCTTGAACTCTTTTTAATAAAATTTGTTTTGCCTATAAAAAAAAAATCAAACGAAAGAAAAAGTAGTCAACTTTAATTACTATAACAAATAATATTATAATTAAAATATATATTTAAACTTAGTTGACTATCAAGAATTATCGTCTAGTGTAACCAAAAAAATATTATCGTGCAGAGGCTAATTTCGAGATTGAGGGCGCCATTAATATGAATTTCAAGAAATGATACTTGTATATTCAAATATCACATGATAAAGTAATGTGTCAATTGTGTATTTATTTTTTAATTTATAGATATTAAATAAAGAATATCTTAATTATAAATTAAATAAATATAAAACTTATTCATGATTTGTCGTATCACAAAAATGACTTTTTTTTTATAAATTTTAATTGATAGTTTTTAATTTAATTTTTAACATATTTTTATTTATTAGTTGAAATTTATTAAAATTATAAAAAAATGACACTCATGTAATAATTAAGAGTGTATTTTAAAAAGTATCTTATGTAAAATGTTGCTATAATTTTATTATTATAAAATTAATAATAATTTTCTTTATGTATGTCTACGATTACATAATAAAAAATTAATGAATAAATTTTTTTGTATTAAAAATCATAATATTTAATATTATTGATATATTAACACTAAAAAATCATTTACTAACTTAAAAAGATTCTCAAGTATTCGACATTTTTCTGGTAATATAGTCTTTATTTAATAAAAAAATGATTTATATAGACTAAAGAAATATATATAATAATATAATATATTTTACAAACAAATAATTTTTTTATAAAAATATTATTATATATTATCAATTATCAAACATTAGTGTAATACACCACCTTCAAAATTTATACTAACAATTTTTTAAAAGACTATGCCTATACTAACAAAGGTTAATTAACACTTGATTAATTTTATTTGTCATTAAATAACAGTTATTTTTAAGTGTGAAATCATGTAATGTTAAACAAAATAAAAATATTAACCTCACTTCTTAAAACTGAATTTAACAATTAATAATAAAAAATATTTTAAAAAGTAATTATTATACTTATATAACTTTAAAATAATAGTTATTATTTTTTAATGAAAATTATTATTTTAAAATATTTGAAATCCTATCTTAAATGTTAAGATTAATAAAATTATATTTTTTATTACTATCGTTAAACACATTATAAAAATGGAATAAATAAAGTAGTGGAAAAGCCATCTAAACTCTCGTCAATCTTTGGGGACAACGAAGGACCGAAGGTTGCTCTTCATTCGATTTTGATTACAAACCTTGTCGCTTTAATGCGTCTAGTAATACATTCCATGTTGGAACTTGGAAAGTATGATAATCATTTTGAAGTCTCTAGAAAAATGGGAAAAACAAAAAATTGGAATTGAAGATAGTGAAGAAATTTTGATCAAAGGATTGGTCTTTTCTCTACTTACTAAAAACTTCAATCTATTGCAACGTGTCATAGGCCAAAATTGGTAAAGGAGGAGCATATAGCACTATCAATTTTGTTGGTTCTGTAATTAGAACAACAGCATCGCAAGTGACAAAAACATACGTGCTGGTACCTTTTGTAGCATCAACAATATGATTACTATATATGTGAGTTCATCATCATGTACATGTTCCCTTTATTAACATATATCCTAAGTGAACCTTCCAAATTTCTCTGCATTCTCTTCCCTGAGCCACACGTTGGACCACTCAAGCACTACAAAGTGAGAGGCAAAGCAACACTCGAATATGAACTTGCTTAATAATATCATTCATATACTAGCTAGATGCTTCTCATAAATATGAACAATCCCTTTCAACATGAAATTTCTGAATAAAAATGGCCCCAAAATATATTGATTGGCCTTACTTTTCACCGTTTGTTAACATCTGGCAATTGATAAAATGTTGTTCTACTTGCTAAAATCTATAAAGTCGACTAGTTGACCTTGGCCATGAATTAAGTTGACATTTTATGTTAATTTAGAAAGAATGACTAGAATGATCCATTTAATTTGGTGACCTTGCCAATGTATCCATAAGCTATAACTGAGGATAAATTACCCTTCTTTTATTTAAGGATGTTTTAGTCAAACTGTCAAAAGCATTTTAAAAACACTGATACATTATTTTTTCAGAAAAGTTAAGTTGTGTTACACTTTTTTAATCTTAATCTGAGCAAATTTTTTAAGGATGTATCTCTTTTATGTAACTTTTAGCATCATTGAATATTTGCTATCAACTTTGAGATTTTAAAAAATGAAATAAAAACTTGAACGAAATTTCAAGGTTAACAGTAGAAATTTTTGAATTATTTTTTCATTAATCAAATTTTTAAAATTTGTAATAAAACGAGTTAAAAGACTATTTAAAAAAAAAAATGTTGTAGGCACTCATTTTGGAGGCTTGAAACAGAAACCCATGAAAATGGTTGGTTTAGCTTTTTTACCATGTGCGTATCCATTGAAAGCTGTAATTGAATGAATCTTTCAAGTAAAATGGTGTTGTTAACAGGTTATCACTCACAGTTAGCTAATCTAGGCCTAAATTTGCTGGAACTGTACAATTCTGACCAAAAAACTATGACCCTCTTTCCTGTGGGTTGAGATATGAGTTTTTCTCTTTTAATAATCAATAAAAAATAATTAGTATGATTACGGATATTTTTGAATCATATTAACTTTTTAAAAAATAAAATATTGGTTGTAATACACAAAATACGGCCCACAAGCATATCATTTGAGAATGCCCCCATCTCAGAGTACGTATAGATTCATCATAATAGATACAATGAAATGACATAAAGTAACATTGATTATTATTGTTTAAAATTATTTAAAATACGGTAAAATCTGATGAAATCTAATATAACTTATTTTACTAATTTTCTTAGAAGAAAAAACTGAAACACTGTTCTATATTTTGGATAAAAATGTGACGTGTGTTATAATTATTACACATGTTACTTTTATTAATAAATTACTATATATTACACTAAAAAAACCTATATTCAAATCTTTTCCTTTATCTAATCTTTTTTATTCTTAATAATATGAGATAATTGAAACCAAGTTATAATCTACAAATTTCTGTAGCATTTCAAATAATAAAACAAAAACTTCCATCATAAGTATACAATAACTTTATCCCATATTCAGTCCAATCTAGTAATCTCTTTGCCTCAATCATTAGATATACCTATGCACAAGTGTTATTTTCAAATGATATCACATGCTCCTCTCTCTGAAGTCCAAGACCTCCTTCACTATTTATACCCATCATAGTTCCTCCTTCCCTCTCCACACCACAATTCAAACAAATCTCTCTCTCTCTCTCTCTCTCTAAACAAAAGTCAATTCCTTCTATATCATTCCTCCTCCTCTTTTTCACCTTCAAAGTTGAACCAGTGAATTTAGATACTTTGTTGCCTAGATATATATATTAGCTAGCCACAAACCCCTCTAAGACAATACACAAAAAACTTTTTACCAAATAAAGAATGCATGACATTTGTCTTAACATGGCACCAATGGTTCAAAGCATTGACCCTGAGGACCTCTTCACACGTCGATGTGTTTGGGTGAATGGACCTGTGATAGTAGGTGCTGGTCCCTCAGGTCTTGCAGTGGCTGCAGGTCTCAAAGACCAAGGTGTTCCTTTCATCATCCTTGAGAGAGAAAACTGCATAGCCTCTCTTTGGCAAAACCGCACCTATGATCGCTTAAAGCTTCACCTCCCAAAACAGTTCTGTCAACTACCCAATTTCCCTTTCCCTGAGGATTTCCCTGAATACCCAACAAAGTTTCAGTTCATAAACTACCTTGAGTCCTATGCCAAGCACTTCAACATAACCCCACACTTCAATGAAACAGTGCAATCTGCTAAGTATGATGAAACCTTTGGGTTGTGGAGGGTTAAGACCATTAGGAAGAAAGGGCCTTGTTTAGGTGAGAATAGTGAGGTTGAGTACATTTGCAGGTGGCTTGTGGTTGCCACCGGTGAGAATTCTGAGAAAGTGGTGCCTGAGTTTGAAGGGTTGCAAGAGTTTGGTGGCCATGTTGTGCATGCTTGTGATTATAAATCAGGGGTGGGTTATACTGGAAAGAGAGTGCTTGTTGTTGGGTGCGGAAATTCAGGCATGGAAGTGTCACTTGATCTGTGTAACCACAATGCAAGCCCATCAATGGTTGTTAGAAGCTCAGTGAGTGCTAAAAAGAAACAAATCTCTTTAGATTTTGTTAATATATCATTCATCATCCAAAGTTGGCATTTTTAGGTGTGAATTTTAACTCTCTTTTTGATGTGTTTTTTGATGATCAGGTTCACGTGTTGCCCAGAGAAGTTTTTGGAAGATCTACTTTTGAGCTTGCAGTTATGTTGATGAAAAGGCTACCTCTTTGGATGGTTGATAAGATATTGCTGATTTTGGCACGTTTGATTCTGGGGAATGTTGAAAAGTATGGTCTTAAAAGGCCCTCAGTGGGTCCTTTAGAGCTCAAACACACTGCAGGGAAGACTCCTGTGTTAGACATTGGGGCACTCAAGAAAATTAGATCTGGCCAAATCAGAGTGGTTCCTGGAATCAAAAGGTTCATGCCAGGGAAAGTGGAACTTGTTGATGGCAAGGTTCTTCAGATTGATTCTGTGGTTCTTGCTACTGGGTATCGTAGCAATGTGCCATCATGGTTGAAGGTTAGTCTTGTTTATAATATATTTGTCTTCATTTATTTTTCTTGTTTTCTTTTGCATTGGATTCTTGCTCACAGTTTTGGAAGTAAATTCGGTTTAAGAAGTTTTCTTTATTCTCTTGCATAGTTTTTAATTAATTTCTAATTATTTTCAAAAGTAAATACTAAATAAAAATCATTTATTTTTTAAAAATATTATGAATTTAACCCCGAGGTGTTCTCTATCATTAAAACCATGTCACATTTTTTTGCCAGTGTTTTTTTTATTAATATTCTGAAGAAGGTTTACTTTTATTTCTATTTGTCTGTTTAAATACAGAATAAATTATACACATTAAAAAATTTAATTATTTTAAGAATTAATTGTTAAGCATATTAATTTCTATTATAAAATTTATTTTAACTCTTAAATTATTCAAATAATATAAATATTTTATTAATTTGATTAACTCTAACTCTTAGGATTTTAAGCAATCAAAAGTAAAAGATTTTATTAAAAAATAGTATTTATTACATTAAAAATATAAAAGTGTAGCAATATTTTAATAAAAAATTATTACTTCTTGAATATTTAAACTCTCCTAATAACTAAAGTTAAGAAAATCAATATATTATATGAACAAAAACAAATCTTACGCAAATAAATAAACAAAAACAAATTTTTCTTGACTTTATGGACGAAATATATAGGAATAGAGTTAACATATAAAAGGTATTTCTTCTGCTATCCACTTGTCCTTTGTTTTTCCTCCCAGTTGTTTTGTTCCCTTACTGAGACCCCACAACAAAGTCTTCTGGCCATGTTTAATGACCAGGGAAGGTGTGTGTCTGTGTCTTGAAAGAACAAAAAAACAAAAAACATCAATGTATTTTGAAAATATTCACAACTTTGTTGCCATCAATAGCTACCCTGTTGATTAGTACGGTTTTAGATATTAGTAATATATTAGCATGTATTTCTTTTAGAAGAAATAATTTAAGGTAAATAATTATGCAATTAGTGGAATGAGTTATTAACTTTGTTTAAGCTAATAATTTGATACAATTATTGGACTAAATTAGTATGCAAAATGTGTTATGTGGTGCAACAGGAGAATGAGTTCTTTTCCAATGATGGGATTCCAAGAAACCTATTTCCAATTGGGTGGAAAGGCAAAGTTGGTCTTTATGCTGTGGGATTCACAAGGAGAGGCCTGTCTGGTGCCTCTTTGGATGCAATTAATGTGTCTCATGACATTGCCAAGAGCTGGAAAGAAGAAACAAGACAGAAGAAGAAAACAGTGGCTGCACGCCATAGGAGATGCATATCACACTTCTAACTCTAAGACACTCACTTTGATCACAAATATTTTGGGTTTGTTTGTTTTCTTTTGCTTGCCTTCTCGTCAATCCAAAACAATAGACATGATGATCAATTACATAATAATGTAAAGTTCCCTTATAGAAAATATAACATAGTCTTCTTGAGTCAGTTCAATTTGTTAAGTTGTGGGACATGAATCGTGAGTGTGTGAGTTAGACTCTCTTACCCCTTTCTCATTTCCTTATTTTCTTTCTTTTTTTACTCTCACAAAGCCTAGTATAAGTCTCCACACACACACAAAAAAAATAGCCCTCTCCTTGAGAAGACCCACTGTTTGAAAATATTTAGCTATTAATTTTGTACAAAGGAAGATGAGGCTTATTTTCTTCTATTTTTATATATGATTTGCATATTTTTTTTAGTTGTGAGGAATATTGCTTCACACTCCAATGAATATTGTATTGCAAAATTTGTGTTTTAATAATGAAGTCAAAGCTCTCTCTCCTGTGATCTGATTTCCTTTTTTGGTCAAATGCATTCACACAGCGATTTCATGGGCTTTTGTCTTCCAACAAAGGCCCAATAAATGTTGACATAAAAAAGAAAACATATTTGAGACCCTCATGTACGTTTCCATGTTGCACAGCACATGGACAGATTCTAATATCGAAAGAAAATTAATTTGTTGGAAAAAAAAAAGAGGAAAAAAAAGTAATTCAGATGCTTTGAGATAGGAATAAAAGTTTAAACAAAATAGACTTGTAAAATATCACAAACTAGAAAAACAAATTATATAAGAAGTATAAAGATAATCCTCAATTTTAAAAATAAGGACTTAAATTTATATTATCGATCAAACTAGTAATTTAGTATTTTAATTAGGGATAGAAACAGGTCAAGTTAGGCCAGGCTTTACTCTAAATAGGCTTGGCCTGTAAAATAATTATTAGGCCTGAGTCTGACCTGTTACCTGTTAAAGACTTTATTTTAGGTCTGGCCTAACCTGTTTAAGTGACTTGACCTAGCCTGAAACCTGTTAACAAAGTCTGTCACAAAAAAAAATATTAATAAAAATATAAATATTTTATTATCAAATTAATTTATATTTTTTTTTAATTTCTATCTATGTTATTAATAATTATTAAATAATTATAATAATATTTATATAATTTTTAAAATATTATTTAAGTATTAATTATAAATATTTTGTATTAATAAAATTTATATTTATATTTCTCTTGATTTATTTTTAAAAATTATATAAATAATAAATATTTTAGTTTTATTTTAGAAACATATTTTGTTTGTTTAAAGACATCTTATATTCAACAAATAAAGTTACAGTAAACACATAAAATTGATAAAAAAAAAAATAACATTCATACAATTTGTTGAATCAATTGAAAAAATATATTATATTTTAAAAAATAAATAAATTTAAACTTAATTCAATATATATATATATATATATATAATGACAATAATCATAACTATTAAATTAAAAAAAAATTACAAACTATTTAATTTTATTTGTTTTATTAATTTGTTATTTTAAATTAACAAACAAAGATAAAATTAACTACATTATAACATTAATATAATATAAAAAATATTAGTGATACAATAAATTAAAATATATACTTATATCTTATATATAAATTGATAAATTAACTAATAATTTAATTAAAACACGTGTAAATTACAAAAATATATATACTATTTTATAATTTATTTATAATTATATTATTTATATTATTTGCTACATGGTCTAATTATATATATATATATATATATATATATATTATAATAAATTTTTTATTTTATTTTCTTATCTTTTTTATAAATTTTTCTTTTCGAATAAAATATAATTTATATTTAAGCAATTTCTATTTATTATAAATATAAAAAATTATAACATAATATATTAATATAATAATTGAATATTAATAATAATAAAATTAAAAATATGAAAAATTTATTAAAAAATATTAATATTTTATTTTTAAATTTTGATTCGTTTAGTTTTGATCGTATCTTATTCTTCTTCAACTTCTTTAAATATAACAAATATAATAATTTATGATTAAATAAATTTATTTTTGAAACATGTGTAATCGTATATAAATATTTTTAGTTTCGAATATAATATAATTTTTATTTATTATAAATAAAAAAGTGTAACATAATATATTAATATAATAATTAAATATTAATAACAAAATTAAAAATATAAAAAATAAATTAATATAATATTATTATTTTATTTTTAAATATTAGTTTCGTTAATTTTGATTGCGTTCTAATCTTATTCAAAGACTTTGTTGCTCTTCATGTTCAAATAAATATAATAATTTATCTTATATTTATATTCAAAGTAACTATAGATAATAATAAAATAAGAATAAAAAATAAGTGTGATAGCAGCTCTGACTCAAAAGTACGTGGTTGTGCTAGGTTTGTAATTTGTTGTGATGTAATGAATACAATCAACAAAAATTTTATTATAAATTTTATACCAATAAAATTGCTTAAGAAAAGATAAAAAAATAAAATAAAATTTGTATAATATTAAAAATTTATAATGATTGTTGTTATTGAATAATATTAACAAAATATAATTATTTTATTATCAAATTAGTTTACATATATTCAAATTTTTATTTGTGTTATTGATAATTTTTAAATAATTGTAATAATTTTTATACAATTTTATAAATAATTTTTAAAATATTATTTGAGCATTAATAATAAATATTTTTATATTATAAAATTTTTATATTTTTATTTTTCACAATTTAATTTTATAAAATTATTAAATTATTAAATATTTTAATTATTTTTTATGATAATTATATTTTGTTTGTATAGAGACATCTTATATTTAATAAATAAAATCACAGTAAATACATAAAATTGATAACAAAAAATAACACTTATAAAATTTATTAAATCAGCTAAAAAAATTATTATATTTTTAAAAAGTAAATAAATATCGTCATTATAAAAATTATAGATAAAAAAATATTTATATTATAAAATTCATAGATGCAAAAAAAGAACATATGAGTATAAGAAGAGTTATTAAAATTTATATTTAAATTAAAATAACTTATATTTCTAAATTTTTATCTTAATTAAAAATATGTGATAAAACTTAATATAAAAATTTAAACTTAATGTATTATATATATATATATATATATATATATATTGACAACAATAATAACTATTAAATTAAAAAAATAATTATAAATTATTTAATTTTATTTGTTTCATTAATTTGCTATTTTAAATTAACAAATAAATGTAAAATTAACTATACTATAACATTAATGTAATATAGAAAATATTACTGATACAATAAATTAAAACACATACTTATATATTACATATGAATTGATAAATTAAATAATAATTTAATTAAAATAAGTGCAAGTTACAAAAATACATGTTATTATATAATTTATTTGTAATTATATTATTTATATTATTTGTTACATGGTCTGATTATATATATATATATATATATATATATATATATTATAATAAGTTTTTTATTTTATTTTGTTATCATATTTTTTTATAAATTTTTACTTTCAAATAAAATATAATTCATATTTAAGTAATTTCTACTTATTATAAATAAAAATAATTATAACATAATATATTAATATAATAATTAAATAATTAAATTAATAATAATAAAATTAAGAGTATAAAAAATGTTAATATAATTTTATTATTGTATTTTTAAATTTTATTTCGTTTAGTTTTGATTACATCTTATTTCTGTTCAAAGACTTAACTATTTTTTAAATTATTTAAATATAATAATTTATTACTAAATAAATTTATTATTCAAAAAGTGTAATCATGTATAAATATTTTTAATTTTTAATAGAATATAATTTTTGTTTATTATAATTATAAATAAATAAAATTATAACATAATATATTAATTTAATAATAACAGAATTAAGAATATAAAAAATATATTATTAAATAAATTTATTATTTAAATATATATATATATATGACAGCTCTATTTTTAAATTATATAATATATATATATATATATATATATGTATATATATATATATATATAATATAATATATATTTATACAGGCGGAACTTAATTGGAAAGTCATATTTCAACCCCGGACGTTTTCGAGATGCTCCTAATAACCAACGAATGGCAAGTGCTTTTCCTTGTGTGAATCTTATTTCAATGGGAACTTGATGAGTCGATCCGCCTACGCGTCTTGCTTTTACTGCTATATCGAAAGTTACTCCATGTATTGCTTGACGTAAAACAGATAGTGGATTTATTTCTGTCTTTTGTTGAATCTTTTTCATAACTCGATAGATAATTTGATAAGTCAATAATTTTTTTCTGTGTTTCAGAACACGGTTAACCAACATGTTAACTAATTGATTACAATAAATTGGATCAGATTTTGCGATTTTTTCTTCTGCAGTACCTCACCGTGACATGAGCGTGAAAGGGGGAATTCATTTTTTTTATAACTTATAAGGACTAAATTGTGACTTTTTTTTTGTTAAGTGGGGATAACTTTTTATAGCCACAGTTGATAAATAAGACTAAGTTGAAACTAAATAATTGGTAAAAAACTAAATAATTGAGGGTTAAAGTGTGTACATGTGCATGCATTTGTATCATGTGTGTGTTGTCTATATTTATGTGTAGAAGATAATTTCAAAAACTAAACATAAAAAGCATGTGTATATATATATATATATATATATATATATATATATATATATATATATATAGTTGAATGGACCTAATTGAATTGGCATAACTTAAAAAAGGTTTGTTTTTTTATATAAGATCAGATGGAAGGGCATATTAGAATAGTTACAGTGTGTTTGTATAGATTATTAATTTAAATATGGAGTTTAAGTTATATAATTACAATAATAAAGATTTTATGTAAATATAACTTTTGAAAAATTGTCAGTAACAATTTTTACTTGGTCAAATTTGAAAGTTG